AAGCTGCCCTATGGGCATTTTGGTCTGATAATAACTCTTTTGAGAAAGGTGTACTTGCTGCTGTGAATCTCGGTGATGATACTGATACAACGGCTGCCATTTATGGGCAATTAGCTGGTGCATACTATGGATACAAAGAACTTCCTAGAAAATGGGTAGAACATGTATATGCTAAGGAATTCATATTAAACTTGAGTAAATGGATAGTACAAGAAGGAAAAGACTGGAAACAAACGAATGTAATTCTTCCATCTCATTCGTTTTCAGTTGATAAACCTGCATCGAATGAAATAGAAACACCATGTGCTCGACGTACGCCTAGATCGAATTCAACTTTGCCATCACAAGAAAATGAAAGATACTTGAATGATTCGGCTAGTAATCGAAATTTGCCTGATTGTGATAACACCACTGAACCGGAGTTATTGAATCAACCTCCAATGCTGGACAGTGATGCAAGTACAACATGCACACAGTCAAATCAAGACGCTGCCAATGTCGTTATGACTTCGAAAGATACCTTGCATTTATAAATTTCTTAACGATTGGAGACATCAGAAATTCTTACATATACATGTAACGATAAAAACTAATATTTCAAATGACTATTCTTGAAGAAATCTAGAAATAAACGAAACACTTAAATAAAATATTTTCTATCATATTAAATGTTCTTGACGAAAATATTGAAACATTCGTAATTGATCGTAGGTACTACGGACGTTATCACATATTGCATGTAGCAATATCATAAATGTCTCTTGACATTAACCCAATCATTTTAGAGAAAAAAAATACTCTTGATATTTGTCGTCAAAGCTGCTTAAATGGGAATATTCATGAGAAAACTTTAATTTCTGATCTTTGTTATTATATTTCAGTTTGAAGTGTACTTTGCTGATTTACTTTCTGTCAGTACTTAATCCAGATCGTTGCATAGAATAGTTCTATGAAGATAATTGTGATTGGATTCAGTCTTTAGAAACTGATTATGAAAGTTATGTATTTGATGTTCAGTTGTACAACATCAATGAACACTGTCTTTTAAATTTTGTTGATAATAATGATCTCGTTGAATTTGAAGTGATCGGTTCACATAGTTGACGAGTTATTGTTGACGACATTAAATTATTGAAAAATAAACTTTCAACGTCAATAACATTAGAAAAATATTAGTCATAGTGACTTTTATACTGTTGGAGATTTTATTTCGCGTTTGCATCTAAGAAATCCTATGCATTCGAATACTATGTCCTGTATTTTGAAATAGATTCAAGACAAGATACCTTCAATGTTGTATAATGAAATTTTAAAATGGCTCGAATCATTACCTTTTGACATCGATATCAATAGAATAGAGCGTATTTATAATACTGAACAATATATTCAATGTTTCTTCTTCAAATTAGTTTTATTGAAACTGTTTTGAATTGGAATAATGTGCCTACCTAGTTATCACCATGGGTTCGCAAGGAAAAATTTTTATTTTTCTATTGGCCTTATTGACTAGAAGAATATTGATCCATTCAAATAAATGTACATTATCGACTACTTTGCGGAAAAATCTAATTTTTCTTTAAAAAAAAAGATCAAACAAGAAGATTTTTAGAAAAATAGAAGCAAATAAGTGAAGTGAGATATTAGTGTAATAGGCAAATTCTAATCGAGTGGTTTCTATCGAGAGACTATGGCATGAATGGAAATGCTTTATAATGTCTCAACTTATATCAAATGGATTTCCTATGCTCGATAGACTAGATCGATGAATGGTTTTGCAAGGCTATGCACTTCCCATCATCAATAGAGTATATTAGTACGTATTCTAATTCAACAGAATGCTTAATTATGTTCTGTGTCATACTTCTTAATTCAATTCTCGTCATTATTGATGATAAACCGTCATTGATTCCTAGGAGAAACTTCCGTTTTGATATAGTGTAGGAAAATATTCTGATGATCAATGTCATTGAATTTCGGTGGCACCTATGAATGATTACATATCGTAGAGCTTTTATTCACCATTAAACTGCATTCAAAATGTTTTTTTGGATGAATTTGTTGTTTTTGAGCAATATGATATTTTGTCACAGATGATTGTTCATACTAGTTTCGGACTACTTTTTTCTACTTCAGCTGCTTTTAAAAAAAGTTTTCGTAGAATATTTTTCTTCAAAGAATGAAATCAGAGTTATCGAAGATCTTTTAGCCTTTAAAAGAGTTCTTTCTTCTATTTAGAAAGTAATTTGGGACTGTTAAAGAGACTTTAACAATAAAATACCACGAACATTTTATTTGTATATTGATTAAAAAGTTCATTTTAAATCTTGTTTAAAGAAATATTAAAATCTTCCATATATAATCGGTTTTCATATACCATATTCATAATGTGCAATTAAAAGCAGATAAGAAAATAGAATACTGTATGAGAGAATGTTTACAAATGATTTCTATTTTCTTCTTTTGCTTTCTATACTCATTGGAACGCTTTCTCTTTAAGTCATCTCTTCTTTGTCTAATATAAAAGATGCAGACATTCATTAGTGGACATATCAAACCAATAAATAACTAATCTAGTGCATGATATCAAATCTAAATATCAAACAGAGTTAAAGCGATTCGACTAATCACGAGCATATAATAAATATTTTGTTCGATTCTTGGAATCGATATCACTCGTAAAGCTAGAGCTTTATTTTTCTGAATTAAAGTTAGCGTACGATCATCCGAAGTCTGATATAATCGTTTGAAGTTCATCTAATTTATATTTATCGCTGGTGAACGTAATATCAATGTTATTATTATTCAAAGCTTAATATTAGTTTGTTATTTCAAATCTTAATCTTTTAAATCAAAATATAATTATAATTCTAAATGAAAAGTATTTTCAGGTTCAAAAGCCAAATTATTTTCACCCTGATTAATACTCGATTGATATTTGGAAGTCGATTGGTCTATCTTTGGCCCATAACGACCATAACGATTTTCAATTTTTGCTGGTCCCCATTCAATATCTGGTTCACTTGCATAAACCAACATCCGCAAGTAATGTGGCATATTTTCAGTAACCTTTAAAAGACAATAAATATATATATATTAACAATCATCGAGAAAAAAATGGTTTCTACTGGATAGTCAGGGCTGATCGTTATTTTCCAAGCTTTGATTAATTCATGAATCATAATACTCGGAATGAAGATGAGGGATGAACAAACCATAAGCCAGCCAAGTGCATTGGCATATGCTGGATATTCGTAATTACCTTCGGTTGGTGTTCGAAAGCGAATAACCGATGAAAAAAAAACAATCTAATTTCAAAAAAGAAATTCTGAATCACACAAACAAACACTTGATTGATTAATTTACTAGAGTAATTAGTGGACCAGAAATACACCAAGTAAAAAACCAAAATAGTTCCAAAGGTCTTTTACCTAACATCATTCGAATATCTTCCATAAAATTATTAAAGCCTACAGAGACAAAAAAGGCTTAACTCACAGCTTGATCTATATATATTTTACCATAGATATAGGCAATAAGTACAAATTCAATAAATGCACATGCAAATACAGATAAATTAGATGCATATTCATTCATTAATGTCTACAAACAAATTCAATTATTAGGGTACAACAAACAATATATACATACAAACAGATAAATGCCACCCTAAACGAAAAAAAAAAATCAAAGCATATAATATGTTTTACATATCATATTACCGGTGCGCATATTGGTAATGCTAGTAAATAACAAACAATACAATAACTGATTGTTACAAAGACTTTATGACGACGTAATTGTTTAAATGTATCGAGTAAACCAGAGATTATAACATCAGCGAAAGCAAACTAAAGACGATTTCTATAATAAATTAGAGTTTATTTTTATTGTGTCAATTTACCTGAGAATCAAGTCCAAGAGTGAGTAACATAAAAAAGAAAACTACAGCCCAAAATGGTCCACCTGGCATGATTGATAGAGCTTGTGGATAAGCAATAAACGCAAGACCCGGTCCACCTTTAGCCACTTGTTCAATAGGTAAACCCGTTTTTAATGACATATAACCAAGGATTGAAAAAATTGCAAAACCAGCAAATACCTAATGTTTTCATTTGCAGTTTATTGAAACATATAGAAATCATTAACTCACTGAAGTAAAACAATCACAAGCGGTAACAATAATACAGTCCCTAGGTAAATATATATAGATATAGATATAGATCAAATGCAGAAAATTAGGAAATTAAATTAATGAAGAATTATTAACCTGAGATAGTTTGCATTAAATTTATTGAAACTAGCATAACCGAGAAGAGGACCAAATGCGACCGACAGAGAAAATGTAACCTAGTTGATCGAAAACTTTGAAATGTGCAAAAATTCGTGACTGAACAATTCATTGCGGATGTATGTATGGATGAAGGTCGGTGTGTGGATGTAGTTGTGTTCGTTAGAGTGCTAATGATAGAACACAATATATGCGCACTAGTGGCGTAACTAGGGGTGGGCATGCCCGGGCGCCACCCGGTCACCAATAGTTTTTGTCCGGGCACCGGTCAAATGAAAAATTACACCTATCATCGGAACATCTTTTGTCGCATAATCAAAAGCACTGAGAACCATTCGTAAGTCTTACAAATACGATAAAAACTAGACACGTTGATGAGTAGGCAGCATTTGTTCTCTGTTTACATGGTCCGTTTTTCTTTTTTCTGCTTGATTTTACTCCACAAAAAGAAAATACATTTAGGACTTCGAATATGTCTTGAAGTTTAGGGCAGACAATTTTCTATTTTTTTTGGCATGTTTTCGAGAGAATGGGCCACTTTCCAGCTAAATTTGAGAACCGAAAACGGAAAAATTGAGAATTTCTTGGTGACAAAGCTAAGTTTCCTAGAGAAGAAAGTGGATTCGATTTGTGAAATTGGTGAGTCCAGGGCCGCCCAAACTGAAAGAAGTGTAGAAATGGCAGTCTTCCTCTTCCGTTGATGGAAACTTTTCGATTTTTAAAGGCGAAATTCTAGAATATTACTGTTGTTTTGAAGAATTTTACGTCTTCTCCTCGTCAGTTCTCGAAATTACATCGGCTTCCTCCCAGTAAAAAGAATTTCAATTTTTTTTGAAAATTTATTTCGACTTTCTCCTTTTTCCTTCGCAAAGTTGACAAAAAACGCTGTAGTTTCTGTGAAAATTTGTGAACATTTTTCAAAAAGTTCCCCAATTGATCATACAGATCGTCGGTCCTTCCTCAACTTGAATGCTTATAGGCAACCCTGTTCTTGAGCGAGAAAAATGAAAGATTCTGAAGCTCATTCAGTAAAATTTGTTCAAATTGGGTTGTGTCATCACTCTTACTTCTCCTAATTTGCGCAGCCTTGGACATATTTTGCTCTCTTTTTAAGAGAACAAAAATTGTGAGGATTAATTACTCTTTGATGGAAATTTTGACTACTGTTAATAAAATTTTTGAAACACTGTGGGGCACCGCCCGGGCACCGGTCATTTCCTGGTTACGCCACTAATGCGTACTCATAGCGACACTGAGATCCACACATCCGTAACGAATTATCCTGTAATGAATTGTCCAAACACTTCAAATATTGATGAAAAAAAACACAAACCTGATTAGCAGCAGCAATCCAAACCTTCAAAAGAAAACAAAAATTCAGATAACAAAAAAAAATTTTAAGGACTTTAACAAAAACCAATCTACTAAATAAACAAATATTCTCGATTAAAAATTTCACTTTATTGGCAAACATACAGAAAAATAGGATATACTTACATCAAATTCTCGAATTTTATTCCAATTAGGTTTCAAATAAAATGTAAGACCAGCTCGAGCGCCTAAACAATGGATTAGTACTTATTTTATGAATAAATAAATAGAAAAATTTTACCCGGTAAAGTAACACCACGAATGATCAAAGCAAAAATGACAACATAAGGAAATAATGCAGTAAAATAAACGACCTATTATATTAACTATATTGATAAAAAGATCTATTTAAACATTTTACCTTGCCCGACGATTTAATACCTTGAATAATGCAAAGACCAACAAGAATCCAAGCTAATAATAAACATAATGACAAAGACCAACTAGGTGAACCCAATTTATCAAGTGAATCACTTCGTCGTAAAACATAATTACTAAATAATAATCCATATTCGTACGAAAAAATAAATAAATATTACGCTGTCATACTCAAAATATTCTTCTGGTGGAAGACTAGGCATTGTACAATTTGTTTGATAAAGAATACTTTTACAGAAAACAGTCGAATTTGAAAAGTTTAGTGTTTCTATAAAGGAAGAAATAAAATTTCTATTCAATTATTGAGAAATCGAAAGCAATATTTTCCTATTGTTGTGCAACGTTCGGTATTCCACCAATTTCCACAATCACTCCATTGAAGTTTACGTCGAAATGAGGCAAAAAAATAGAAAAGACACCAAGCAATTATAACATTATAATAGATTGAAACCAAAAATGAATTTATAGCCGTTGCCCAACCAAGTCCTTTAAAACAGAAGATAATATTTACTGTGGATACAATTGTTTACAAATTATCTATGTACCTTTAAACATTCGTGACATTTTAAAAGCGGCTGCTGAACCACTACTTGTAAATTGGCCCAGTGACATTTCAAGAAAGAAAAGCGGTGTACCAATAAGAAAATATATACAAAAATACGGTATAATAAAAGCACCTATTATTCTCATTATAGTTATCGATTAATAAAAACAAAAGTCTTTTAAGAAATATTTACCTCCACCATTTTTGAACGCTAGAAGAAGAAAAAACAAAATAAGACATGTATTTATTCGTTCATTATATATTTACCCATGTACGGATATCTCCAAACGTTACCAAGCCCTTATATATAAATGAAAATGTTAGGCGAAAACTTTTCTATACAGTTTCTGATTGAACCTACCAATTGAACATCCAATTAATGAAAGAAAAAACTCCATCGGTCGATCCCATTCTTCTCGACCTTCTTCTTTGGTTTTTGAAGTTTCATTCTAAAACTTTTCAATATGTATCAAATTAGAATTGTAATTAACCTACTTCACATGATGGTTCGGATGTTTTACGAAGTAAAAAACGAGCTTTCAAACGATCAAACATTATCAAAATAAACAGAATTAATCAAATTGTGCTTCTTCTTATAACATTAAAAATGACCTTTGTTATCGCTTCCTGAAGACATCAGGATCGATAACAAAAAAAAAGAACAACATACTCTTTTTAATTAAAATAGATATGAATTGCTCTTTGCAATAAACAATATCATTGACAAAAAGCATCAAAATTAGATATTTTTACTGCGAAAAATCATATCTAGAATTTAAACAATAACAAAATAGTTTTATTATTCTGATTTCTGGTTATCAAAATATAACCTGTTGTATTATGCAGTTTACAAGATAGAATTAGCATGTTAACTTTATATATGGAAAATACATAAAATAAAAAAAAAACATCATTTACTAATTGATCAAGAACCATAAGAAATGTTCACGAATAAAGATTACTTGAAAAATTATCATCTTTAGAATTTTATAACTATTCATTTCGTTTCATTTCGTTCTGATCTAGAGTAAATATAGGTTACAAACATATAGAAAATAATTCATCATCTCTTGATTATTGATAATACGACTGACAAACATTAGAATGTTCTAATATAAAGGATATCTCATAATAATTGAGGATAAATTATCAATGATATTTTTCATATTTTTTCTTGACGTACAAGACTAAAATTTTTATTATATATATATTGAACTAATGTCTTTAATTTTTCTAAGTTTCAGCTTTCTAGCTTAAACTAGTACTGAAATATATGAATTTTCTTACTGGATTTTCGTAATACTTTTTTTACTCAATCAATTACAACATAGTGACTATGTTTTTCTATCTTTACAGGAGTACATCGATATCTAGAATCCAGAGATGGAACCAGTACCGGTTACCGGCTAGTCTGGCCCAGTACTGGTTATGAAAAATCCAAACTTGTTCCATCTCTGCTAGAATGATTCAGATTTAATGACAAATTTTATGCTAAATGTTCATCGGTTATGAATAGATAAAAATTTTTGTATAAAACTTTTCAAAGAAAACACGGAGCATTGGTGTTGCATGGTTCATAGCACAAATGTTTTATAGACATAGTGAACCCGTAGATAACGATGCTCAATATGATGATGGACAGAGAGGACTGAAAATTTAAGATATCTACTGAAAGAAAACGTTCATGGAAGTGTTTGTTACATTGGTACCCACCAGAAAAACAAATTACCAATGAATGAAACAAATCTTCGAAAGAAAAATATGCAAAAATGATACACGAAATGTCTTATTAGTTACAGCAGATCATAGAAAACAATGTACAATATGTTTATACACATTGAGTTTAATCACAATTTACATTTTTCCAAAACATTGTTTTCATCAGGTCTTTATAAATATCACTATTCAAAAACTAAATATGCTATAAAAATCACATTAAAAGAATCACGTATTTCAATCTTGATAATGTATTTTAATAATAATTTAATATAGAAAAGTTGAAACTTTGAAAAATTGAAGATCTTAGTTTGATATATATGCATATGATAAAAATGTTAGTCCAAAGCTCATAAATAACCAATTAGTTCAATAAAGTCATTAAGAGATATTGTCGATAGTTTTCTTTCTCTTTTTAGAATGATATCTTTAAAAGAACGAAAATAAATTTCTACTGCAAGATACCATAGCTGTCATTAAGTGTATTGCGATTCATAAAAGTATTTTTTTGGATTAATGTATTTTCTGTTTAGTTACATGACACTATTTAGATTAATAAAAAAAATAAAAACTTCTACTTGATGAAACATTATTGCGACACATCACCCTTATTGGTCGTAAGCATAAAAATAATTTCTGGGACCGATGACAGACTACGAATAATATTCACGTGCTTTTTTTTTCTTTCCTTCGCTATTTGTTTGATTTGACAAGAATTACTCAGTATACAAAGTCCATTAGGACTACGTAATATTTTATGATCGAACTTAAAATAATAATAATTACATCATTAAAAAGATTAAATATTTATTCATGGATTTTTATCTGAACTCGATTCGATATAAGTATGTTGGATATTTATATAAAACTACGGTTTGTATTTATTGACAACGATAGGTAAGAATATATGTCATGCTTGCATACTTTTATGTCGATCATGATGTACACATATGAAACAAAGCGTTTATTCAATGAAAGACTTCTTATTCATTTTTTCTTTTATAGATAATGACCTTCGATTCAAACGATTTCGATTTTGATCCAAATAAATTCTCTGAAATAGAAAAAAAACTTGAAGATGATGGTTATGTTCGTATACAATTTTCAAGTGAACATTTGCCAAAAGATCATCATATTATGAAAAATATGGAAAAATTTTTTATTGAAATTATCGAAAAACTCGGTGGTCAATGTTTAGATCATAATGAAGAAAAAAATTCTATTGTTTGGCATGTTCAACCAATACAAATATGTTCCGATAGAAAAGAAAAACAATTAGCTCGATCACAAACAAATGAGGAATTTTCATTTCATACAGATTGTTCATATGAAGAAAATCCAGCTGAATATATGGCATTATTTGTTTTAGAACAAGATCAATTTGGTGGTGGACAATTAGAAATAATTCGATTGTCAGATGTATTACAAAGTTTATCATTAAAAACAAAAGAAAAATTACTTAAAAATAAAATACGAATAAATATACCAGAAGAATTTCGAAAATCATCAAGTATTGATCATATAAATGCACCAATTTTAATGGATTATGATAAAATTCGTTATAGACACGATATTTTATCTGGGGAAACTAATGAAGAATTAGATGAACTTAACTCAATAATTGATAAAGCTGAAAAATATAAACCAAAATTAAATAAATATACAATGATTATATTAAATAATCAAACATATCTTCATGGTAGAACAAAAATTCTTGATAATCGTCGTCATTTACTTCGAATAAGATTTAATCGACCATTACTATATAATATTTTTTCTGTTTATGACCAAACTAAATTACTTCGAGAATATTTAACATTTTCAAATGAATTTTATGATTATTTTGATAATCAACATGAATATTTATATGAAATATTAAATTTAATTGTTAAACAATATAGTGAACCAACAAGTTTAGGTGAAGAAATTCGACAAACTTTTCAATTTAATTCTAAAATTCATAATATTTTAACACAATTAAATATTCATCGACCGGATTTTCAAATAGGAACTTATCGTCCAGATATTGTTTTTGGTCATGGAAATTTATTTAAAATAAATGGAATTCATTCATTTCAACCAAAAATGTGTGAAATTAATGCACGATTTCCATTTAATGGATATTTTGCATCAGCTGGTTGTTGCTCAACCGATGATCAAAATAGGTTTTCAAAAAAATATTCCAATTCAATTGAAACAA